TTTTTTTTTTTTTTTTTTTTCCTTGCGGGCATTGCCCGCACCGCCCGCACCGCCCGCACCGCGGGCACTTAGCTAGTAAATATTATTTCTCTCTTCACATTTTGTTTCCTTATTTCTTTAATTATATTTACTATTTATTTATTTCCTTGTTTATTTTTATTTTTCTCTCGAAATTTCGCTGTTTATTTATTTTTCCTTCCGCCTACCCCCTTATGCTTGCTATTTTATTTTCTTGATTAGGTCACCGACGCCCTAACCTAACCACTCAAACTCCGGTTAGGGTTTTTCTTAGGGTTTTTCTAGGGTTAAGGGTTCTCCTACCCCCCCCCTTACTTTCCCTTCTCATTCAAGCACCCTGGATCCGAACCACCTCTCCCCCTTTGACGACGCCCGCGCTCGATTTACTAGCGCCGCCCGTCGCCTTCTATCGCAGACCTCCCCTTACGCCCTCCACTCACGCGGACCTCCTCCAGCCCTCTCTAGTCCGGCCCGTTACCTCCCCATGGCCGACGGCGTGTCACATGCCGCCGAGGCGGCGACGACCTCGGCATCAGGCTCCACACCCGTGCCGACGGACCAGGGCCATCAGCCTCAGGGGGATCTGCACACCCTCATCACCTCCCTCCTTGCGCCCTTACAGGCGCAGGTGGCGACTCTTGCCGCTGGTCTGCGGCAACTCCAGGACGCTGGCCGTCCTTTCTCTGCCCCCTCTCTCTCTTCTCCTGCCTCCCAATCCGGGTCCCCCGTCCTCCGACATGGTGGCCACGACGGAGCTTCCTCCTCTGCCGCCCCCGACCCGGCCATCCTGGTGACCGTCCACGCTCCTAGCGCGACGGCCGCCAGGGCCAGACCCTCCCTCACTCTACGGGCGCACCCGCCCAGATTCCGGTCACTACAGCCACGAGACCACAAACTGCTGTCGTGGTCTCCGTTTTTCCGGGTGCCCCGCTTCTCCCTCCCCTTTGCACGACCGCAGCGCCACCTGGCTCTCCCCCCTGTGGGATGCCCCACGCCGCTCGTGCGTCCACTTGCCCCACTCTTCCTCCTGCCACTCCGCGCTCGATCTACGTTTGACGTCTCGAGGATGAGCTTGCCCAAACCCGAGCCGACCTCGCCCTCTTACGCCTTCAGCCACCCCCACCCTCACAGGTGGCCGCGCCTTCAGGCGCACCCCCTTCTTCCTCTACTCTTCCTTCCATGCAGGCTCGCTTCCCTTCCCCTGCACCCTATCCACCCCCATCCTACCTTCTTCCTATTCCCTCGGTTGCTGCAACCTCTTCTACTGCAGCTCCCTCGCAGCCTGTCGTTCTTACCCCCGCCGCTCCCCCATGCGGCCCGGGCGTACAGTTAGCTGCGCCCCTTTATCCAGAACATGTGCCAACTTACTCAGTTGTAGCACAGGCCTCTGCTCCTCGATCCCCTCGCCGCCAAAACGGTGGCGCACCACTCGTCCGCTTGGCGGACATTGCCTTGTACGACGGTACAGGGATACTAGTGTCTCGGTGGCTGCAGTCTGCCACCCGCACGCTCCAGCTCATGCGGGCCCCACCCGACACGTCGGTGCTTCACCTTTCCACGCGCGTGCATGGCGGTCCTTTCAACGCTTGGGAGGATTTCTATGCGCACTCCCTTCGTGCGGGTCGAACCCCGACCTTCATGGATTTTCAGGCGTTCTTCGAGGACCGCTTAGGAGGCCGACATGACGTCATTGACACCTTCGAGCGCGTCGTCAGCACACGCTGGTCCGGCTGTGGTGGCGCTGCCGGCCTGGGTACTGGCTATGCCCCCTCCTCCTCTCACGACACTTCCCATCGCCGCTCCCCTTTCCGCGGCCGCCCCCGCCGTTCCGCGCAGCAGGGCCGCCACTTCTCGCGCCGCTTCAGCGCGCTCAAGTATGGTGAGCAGGACATTGTTGCCCCGCTGTCGCCTGAGGGTGACCATAGTGACGACCTCGACCTCGGCGAGGCCATCCACTACCACCTGGAGGACTCTACTCTCCCTATGGCCGAGCGCCCCCAGCTCATCCTGTCCGCCCTCTCTCGGGCACGCAGCCGCTCCGGTCACGCTCGCGCGTCGCCCCCGGACGCCCCTCAGCAGGACCTCCCTCAGGGCTTTGTCCCTCCTCGCGGTGTCCTTTCCGCTGAGGAGCGAGCGGCCATTTTGAGCCGGCGTGGGTGTTTGTGATGCCGCCAAGACGGTCATACCTCCTCGCGGTGCCCTTACACCACCGCCCTTGACCGCCACTACGTTGACCTTTCTCGCTAGCGTCGTGCTCAGTCCCCCTCATGCGCCTCGCATCCCCGCGGCGCCTCCTAGCCACGGTGCAGTGTACACCTGCGCCCTTCTCAGTAGTGGGCTTCCCGACATCTTCGTCGCGGTTTGCCCCTCTCGCTACTTGAGCTGAGGTATCGCGGGACCCGACAGAGTGTACTCCGCCCTCTGTCGCAGTACCGTCTGCGCCTCCCCAGACCACCACCTCCCCTCCTACCCCTCCACGACTACCGACACGTCAAGCCATTCGCTCAGCCCGTTGCAGCGAGCAGCTCGCTACTCGCGAGGAAGTTGTGTCCTCTCTTCTAGACTTTAGCATGCTCCAGGCTCGTCAGGAGCGACTCACCCTTCATGTCGTTGCACTGCGTCGCCTTCTCACCATCCTCTCTGACCCTGATTGCACCCTCCCAATTATCCCCGTACGACTGGGGACCTCCACGAGGGTGTACTTAGCGTTGTGGGATTCCGGTTCTCAAAGCGACTTCATTCACCCACGTGTGGTGAATAAAGCCCGCTTACCCACGACAGGGTCTCCGACTCCCATCTCTGTCACCCCAGGGGATATGACAAGACCCAGCGCTTCTTCGATCAGACGGTCACCGACCTCCCTTTCTTCCTCACTCTCGAGCCGACTGATCGTTCCCCGACGTCTCGTCGCCACCACTCCTCTTCTCATTTCGATGTGATGGAGACGGGGTACGACTTCATTCTCGGTACTCTGTGGTCTCGTCGGTTCCGCAGCACCGAGGCCAATTGGACGACCAACACTCTCGTTCTCAAAACGAAGTGTGGATATCATAGGTACTACCGCGGCACCACGCCCCGACCCTCCTCCCCCGGAGCTTTCCGTGCCCACACCATCTCCTACTATCACCGTCACCTCGCCTCGGCAGTTCGCTCACTTCATCCGACAGGACGACGTCACCTTCTTTACGGTGAACGTTACGGATCTCTTGGATTATGGTCCACCCTGTCCCGACGTCGAGCTCATCTCTCTGAAGCCAGATCCTCCTTCGATCTCCATGGCTCCCATCTCTACTTCCGTCCCTCCGCCGTCCGTGCACTATGATCCACCCTGTCCCAACGCCGAGCTCATCTCTCTAGAGCCAGATCCTCCTTCTATCCCCATGGCTCCCATCTCTACTTCCGTCCCTCCGCCGTCCGTCGAGTCCACCCCGCCGTCGCTCGCTGACGCTGACGTTGAGGAACTCGCACGCTATACGGCCGACCTGGAGCCCGCAGTTCGTGACCTCATTCGAGAGTACCACGACGTTTTCCCATCGTCGTTCTCGTACGTCGGCATCCCACCGATGCGCGACGTCGAGAATTCCATCCAACTTATGCCTGCCTATCGTGTTCACCACCAGGCACCCTACAAACTCTCGATCCCCGAGGCCACCGAACTCAAGCGTCAGCTTGAGGAGCTCCTGAGACTGGGTTTCATTAAACCCAGCAACGCCCTGTGGGGTGCACCCGTCCTCTTTGCGGATGGAACTCTTCGTCTCTGCATCGACTATCTCGGCCTCAACCGCTACACGATTAAGAACAACTACCCCATGCCTCGTTCCGATGAGTTGTTCGACCGCCTAGCAGGCAACCGCTTTTTTACGAAGATTGATCTTCTTAACAGTTACCATCAGATCCGCGTCGTTGCAGCGGACCAGCCGAAGACAGCGTTCCGATCGCGCTTCGGCCACTATGAGTTTACGGTGATGCCATCCGCCCTCACCAACGCACCCGCTACCTTCCAGAGGGCGATGAACGACATCTTCAGGGACATCCTGGAGCACTACGTTCTCGTCTACCTCGACGATATCCTGGTCTACAGTCGTACCCTTGAGGAGCATCTCAGACACCTCCACGACGTCCTTGACCGCTTGCGCAGACATGGCTTCTACGCCAAGCTGAGCAAGTGTCGCTTTGCCCATCACAAAGTGGATTTCTTAGGACACTACGTGTCTGACCAGGGTCTCCACATGGACGACGTGAAGATCACTGCTATTGCGGAGTGGCTCATCCCCACATCCGCCAAGCAGCTTCGCAGCTTCCTAGGCCTCACTAGCTACTATAGTAATTTCATCCAGGGATACGCCTCCACGAGGACGCCTGCCGCGCCCTCAAGAAGGCGGTGACATGTGCACCGGTTCTTCACCTACCCGATTTTGATCGCCCTTTTATCCTTACCACCGATGCATCAGACTTTGCTGTAGCCTGTAGGAGCAGTGCTTTTGCAGATTTCTCCCTTCTCTCCTGATTCCTCTCGTCCTCGTATCCCTTGCTTCCCACCCCCTACCCCTACCACTGCCTCCCGCCTGACGCCTACTCGTCCAACTACTGACGAGCCTTCTATTGACTATTCTCCTACCATCGTCGAGGACGACACTGTCAAGTCTCGCTCAGGTGATTGTCTGATAGCCTTCTACTCCCGTCAGCTCCTGCCCGCCGAGATAAACTACATTGCTGATGAACGTGAGGTTCTCGTAGTAGTTTATGCCGCTCGGCACTGGCGTCACCACTGCACGGGGCACAATTCACGGTGCGCACGGACAACTCTGTTGTCCAGGCTTTTCTGACAAAGCCAAAGCTCACTCCTCGACAGGATCGCTAGTGGCGCGACCTATCCGAGTTTAGTTTCACCACTGAGCACATCAAGGGTGAGACTAATCGGGTCGCAGATGCCTTATCCACGGTGCCCTAACCATGATCTGGGGTAGATCCAGCTCGTTGCTATCTCGGTCACCACCGTCCACCACTCTGTGATCGACGAGTTTCGCACTCAGCACCGCCACTACCCCGACTATCGCGACATCCATGCGACCCTTGGGAGTGGCAAGACCGTCTCGAACTACTCTCTCGGGGACAACGGTCTTGTGTACTGGCACGGTTCACAGGGCACCAGAGAGCCCCGTATTTGCGTTCCCTCCATTGGACAGCTACGTGTCTGGGCAGTAGCAGAGTTCCATGACCAGACAGTCGCCGGTCATATGGGCTTCCACAAGACGTTGGCTCGTGGAGCCGCCTGCACGTCTGGCCGAAGCGCAAGGACTTTGCGAAGGACTACGTCGCAGAGTGTCCCACCTGTCAGGAGGTGAACAGTGCGAACCACCTGCCTTATGGTTTGCTCCAGCCTCTTCCTATCCCTGAGGGTCGTTGGCAGTCCATTTTGATGGACTTTATCGGTCCTCTTCGTCCTCCGACCCCCCGCGGTCATGATGCTATCCTGGTCGTCGTCGACCGCTTCACGAAGCGTGCAAGCTTTGTTCCGTGCCGCTATGCCATCAGTGCACGTGAGGTCGCCGACATCGTGTTTGACCGAGTCCTGTGTGACCACGGCTTACCTCTGAGCATCACATCTGACCGTGACCCGCGCTTTACCAGCCGATTCTGGCGACGGCTCCACGAGGTTTACGGCACCCAACTCCGCTTCTCCTCGTCTTACCATCCCCAGACTGATGGTCAGACTGAGGTCACGAACAGGATTCTCGGAGATATTCTCCGAAAGATTGTTCGTGACGACCAGTAGTAGGATCTTCATCTTGCCCACGTGGACATAGCCTACAACCACGCCGTCTCGCCAGCCACGGGRATGTCGCCTTACTATTGCGACCCCGGCTATCACCCTCGTGTTCCTGAGGATTTCCTTCGACTGTCACAGATGCACCCCGACACGAGTTGTCCCGCGCTGGATGATTGGGTTGCACACATGACGTCGATCATGAAGACCGCGCATGAGCACATAGCCGCTTCCCAGACTCGCATGGCAGCACGTGTGAACCGATCGAGGATGGATCATCCATTCAAAGTCGGTGATGATGTGCTTATCGACGCCCGCCACTTACAACTCGAAGCGGACATGCTTCGCAAGTTTCGGCATCTCTTCTTTGGCCCATGCCGCATTCTCCAGGCCGTCGGTTCTCATATGGCTTCTAGCCCGGTCAACTTCCGTGTGAAGCTGTCCGACTACCTACGCCAGGCTCGTGTGCACGATGTCTACCACATTTCGTTACTGCGTCCCTACCGCAGACAGTCTGAGTGTTTTGCCGGACGACCATACGAGCGCCCTCTACCCATCATGGTGGACGACCACGAGGAGTTCCTCGTTTTAGACATCATTGGTCGTCGAGTCGCCGACGATAACCCTCCTCACGTCGAGTATCTCGTACGTTGGAAGGGTTACCCTGATGAGGAGGCTACTTGGGAGCCCCTCAAGCACTTGCAGCACCCTCGCATGTTGGTGTGTGCCTATGACCGTGGTCGTCGTGCTGGGTTGACTGCTCCTCCTCAGCCCACTGACCCTCCTCCTTCTCCCTCGGCTAAGGAGACCGCTGAAGTCGAGCCTGTTCCATCTGAGGCAGGCCTTCAGCAGCAGCCGGATGCTTCTGAGCGTCCACAGCACACTCGGCGTCGTCCTTCTCGATACGACGATTGACTCTGACCTATCTTCCCACGTCTTTGACTTCTCAGTACTCCATCCACTCCTGTTTTGCCACTTCAGCTCGTCGACGTTACGGCTCTTTCCGGACTTCTCATCATGGACGTCATCGGCAGCTTCATGGACTTCGTCACGATCAGCTCTGCCTACTTCAGACGTCGTCACTCTCTTACCGCCTTACCCTGTACAGTACCCTGGTTGTGTCACATGATGGTCTCCCTTTTTCGGGTTCCTTTGAGTTGGGCTCTCCCTTGGTATATGCATAGGCATCGGGACCGTAGCATTGCCTTGGCTTCCCAGCTTACAGATCCAGCTCCGACTTCCTAACCTTAGGAGTCATTTGCATGATTCCCTTACCCATCACTTTGTGTACTCTCTGCCGGCCCTCACGCCCTAGTTAGGCAGCCTCGCATGCTTCATCTAGATGCGCCCAGTATACCAAGCTCCCTTGTTCCCTTGCATGGTCGACCCTCCATAGCGGTCACCCCTTTAGTCGAGCATTACCCGCCCTGATGGTCTATCTGTTAGGGTCATTGGTTCTGTTCGCTCCCAATTCCCTACCCTCATTGAGCCTGATGACATGTTTCCCCCTGTCATTATGTGTGGATGCCCTTAGGAGTTATCGGCCCCTAGGCTGCATTCGCCACCCTCAGAGACCATCCCACCCTTTGGTTTGCGACACACTCCTCCTGTGACATATGGTTGTCTTGTTGTTGCTTTGTTGCTCTCAAACTGAGGCTACTGCCTCTGACATTTCTAGGATTTAGTTGTTCTGCTTTTGCTGTTCTTAGGACTTACACACTAGTCAATTGTTTCCAGACTGAGGCTACTGCCTCCAACATTCTAGGATCTAGTTGTCATTACTTTCTGCTTTCCTAGAACATGTATGATAGTTAGTTGCTTCTGCTTTCACTTAGGCTGTTAGCTGTGACATTGCTGTTTTTGTGACATTTTCTATCCTAGGTTGCATCGCATGGACTCAGCATGGAGCTTGCTTCGCATCCTAGACTACTCAGGTTTTCTTTTTCTTTGGTAGAGTTCCGCTTGTTGGCGGAAGCGTGCTTGTATCTAGGCGATCCATCACAGGCCGAGGATCATGTAGCGGACCTCTGGTTGGCCTGTGAGACCAGCCCCTTGGCCTGTTCTCACAGGCGTGTGTTGTATTCGAGGTAGTCCTGTCCAGGCCGGTACCTCTGTCGGTACCAGCCAGTCCAGTCCAGTCCAGTCAGTCCGCTGGGGTATACCCCAGTTGTTGTCTGTTTTCTGGATCATTCTACATTTGCACACTTCGGAGTACGTGCGTTGGAGTCTAGCGTGGGAGCTGCGCTGTGCCATCTAGCTCACCCTTCTTCCTCCATCTCCATCTTTATCCCAGGCGGAGCACAACACCTGGTGGGTCCGCCACAACAGGTTGTCGCTCAGTATGAGAAGTCACTACAGTAAGGAAAGCGCCAGATTGATTGATTGAACTTCTCAGAGGACTGTCGAAGTAATGGAGGAGGGAATGCGAGGTTCAAGGCCTCGGTAAGCCCTACTGGGCCCTGTTTCAGCCAGAACGGCCGCCCTAAGTGAAGGCAGCCCTGACAAGGCATGAGAGGCCTATTTTTGCTGGGTTGGACGCAGCTGGGAAATTCAGGCAGTTGAGCAGCGCCAGTTGGTTGAGTGAGCCCAGGGCCTGCCTGCCTTTTTCCAAATGAATCTGAGGCAGGCCCTGGGCCAGACACGGGGCATGGACTGAACACAGGCCGCTGGCAGTTGGACACGGGTAACCACCCCAGGCCCTACATGTGATTCCCTGGGTCAGAGTCTCAGCCACTTGGGGCCTGCCGGAAGCTTCTGGGCAGGGTCCCAGCGCAGCCAGGCAGCATGCAGCAGGCAGGCCACTTTGATGGGGCGAGCAGGGTACACGCAGGCAGCCATAGCCGAGCTGGCCTGCGAGATGCTGGATGGGGCGCATGGTGGTCCTTTGGTGCATGTGGCATCTGTGTGGGGGGATCGAGGTTGTGAGTGAAGCGTGAGACATACCTGGTGCTTGAAGCAAATGGCATTGGCCGAGATCTGCTCGTACTTCGGGAAGCTGTTGACGTCACCAGCGGCGTTGTAGATAGGCTAGATAGGATCTGCCATTCGTAGTCTAGGCGCTGAGCGCCGGATAGGAATTCGACATTGGTTCATTGTTGATGATTATGACACTATTCCAGCATTGTCACCTGTGAGTTTTTGCTGTGCTCTTATTTAGTGGAACTCGAGTTGCAATACTGCTTTTGGTTCGAGGTCAAGACTATCTGGTTTCATGTGTATGATGCTGCTTGGTTTCTGGAATTCGCTATTGCTCATTTTCCTTGCAGAATGAACTTGAGAGGAGAGAGAGGGAAAGAAGAAGAAGAAGAAGATGATGTACACCAGCATAGACCAATGATAATGCTCTTCTTCTTCGCCAACCACTCTCCTCCCCCTTATCTCTGCCCCTCTTATTCAATCAAGAAATAATAATAATAATGTTGAATGGTTGAACCAGAATCAATGTCTGAATCCCTCTTCTACTGCAGGTATCACATGAGGTCCACCATAGCCATGGCACCCTCCTCCTTCCTCTTCTCGAAGGCCTAGGCTATGGCGGACTGCTAGGGCCTTGCCCTSATGTACAGAAGACAACTCAAGCAACTATGGCTGCTCTAGCTCAGGCTGCCATGGTTGAATCTGCCTCGAAGCTTCTTGGTGTAGCTCTACCCCCGCTGGGGCCTTCTTGCTGCAGCGCCCACCAAGGTGATGAAGATGGCAACCACCATAGCCAGGTAAGTACCTCTGGCACTCCCCCTTCCTTGTCCTGGTCTTCTTCCTCCTCCTGTCCTTGCTCCTTCCCCAGCAGCGCTGCTCCAAGCTAGCGCTTTTCCAGCCAGCGCTCCAACCAGTGTGTCGCCAAATTTGCACACCGACAATGAGGAGGAGCACCTTACTCCTGGAGAGATAGCGGCCTGCTTGCCTCTTGGCGAGTGACTTCCTAGCCTCCAAGCAACCGGTACCTCCTCCCTTTCAGAGGGAAACATCATTGCAGACTCTGATATTGCCCGTACAGGCCCTAGACTCAGACTGGTTGGACTGGTACCCGTCTAGACCTAGCCTACAACTACTGGGCCTCTAAAAATGCCAACTTTTGTCTTCTTCTGCTCGGCCTCGAGTACCCGGCACATCTACCTCTACTTGGTGTGGTACTGGCCTATCTGCTACTTGAGTGTTTTCCGCTGTTCTAAGTGTCACGGACCTCTTTCCCCGCCACTTGAGTGTTTTCCCCGCTGCAACCATCAATGTCACGCCACAGGTAAGTACCAGCCCTTTGGGCCTTTCCGAACAACCAAGTGCCCTTCCGGGTCACACACACACTCAAGCCGACAAGCACTCAGACAGGCATGCAGACCAGCAAGCATGCACCCACACAGACTTAGAAAACTCAGCAACAAGCGGGAAACTCAGTAAGGCATACATTCCATGAGCAAAACTCAGAAATCAGCTGTGTGTCTCAGTCCGTGTTTGGCAGGTCATTACAGTTTGGTCCTTAGGTATGGTGAGAGATTTCCATTGTCATGTTGGACTGTTTGTTATCAATGACACTCAAATGCTAGTTATGTGCGGTGTATGTTGCTTTTCTATGCCTCAACAGGAGCTCATGTATCAGCGATGGTGCTCTGGCAGCGTGCAATACACCAGCTGAAGCATGGGGCCAGGAGCTTGGAGCAAGAGGACGGTATTGAGAGAACAACCAGAGATTTGCAAGGGAGCGATGCCACAGAGGACTCCGAATTTAGAATCTGTGAAAGGATGCCTGCGCGCGGAGAGGTGAACGAAGAGACGTATGAAAGCCAAGGGGCAAAGGATCAGAATGGTCATGGGAAAGTTGCTGGTGCATACAGCTCACAAACAGGAGAGCAAATTGATAGCCGGCAACCGTACTGCTTCCTGGGCCTCTCGGGTGTATACGACATAGGCCGTCACTATGCCTTTGAGCAAAGGAGAGGAGTTGCAGGGATCTCCTGCATGCGGCCAGCCATTGGTGGAGTGGACAAGTTCGATGCCTTTTCCCCGAGCCTCCTCTTTGCCTTGATGGGATCGATGCAGATATCCAATGGCAATGGCTGTACACACTGTACTCCATGCACTGAACCTGCCAAGGACCATGTCAAGTCCACATTGCGCTCATTAAGGGGTGAAAAATCTGCAGCACACTCAAAGAAGAACCAGATGCGCCTGTACTCTTACATGGATGATCTTCCCGGGGCTCGTGCTGCTCGAAAGGAAAACCCTGCACTAGATGGAAGGCCTATCATTTCCACACCCAGGCCGAGCACAGAGAAGGCCGTTAACACCAACCGACACTCAGATTACCAGAGGTTTGACAGTTCAAGGGCTACCTGTGTTGTGCCACCCTGCCTGCTCCTCTGCAGCCCTGGAGATAAGACTGTGCCCGTGGACTCGAGTCTCGCACTTGAGAAGGCCCTTCTGCGAATTGGCTGCCATGCCAAGGCTATCCTTTATGATGATTTGGGGCATACGGATTTCTCAATTTGGGGAACAAAAACACATTGTAAGACAATTGACGAGCTCGGTCCGCATGTGAGTGACATTTTGGATGTGGTGAGTGAACGGATTCCTCTGGACTCAATGTGCTGGGACTGACATGCTAGCTGCAGCCTTCTGGGTACTAGATTCACTATCATGCGCTCCGTTCACAGACAATGTCCACTTGAATCAAGTTGAACGTAGTGTAACCTCCTGCAATACAGTTTTGCTTGCCACCATTTACGGTAATGGAGCATGGAAGGAGCCGGTTAGACTCGATATCTTGGGTCTGAAGTGCAAAGGCCAGTTACCATGTGTGAAAGCCAAAACACTGGATCATACTCTCCGAAGTAATGGACTTGAAAGTAGTATAGACTCCAGCGCAATTCAGTTATTGGAGAAGTCCAACTTATCCTGTTCATGTCTCGCACATCAGCTGGCGGCACATTTTGTTGGCCTGCGATATGGTTTAGTGCTACTGCTGGGTAACGTCCTGCTTTCTCCGGGACATAAGGATGCTGCTACTTTCTAAAGGTCACAAAGCTGCTGCCATGCACCATGTTTGATTCCCTATTGTGGAGTTCAGGGTTCGTTCAACAGCACCACATGGTTCGTTTTTCTGCACGCTTTGCTCTCACTGAGTCTGCTGTGATAGTTATCAGGGGCGTGCCTTTCGTGCACTTTTATGTGATCTGGGATGGCAATCAGCGCTAACGAAGGTTGATGTATGTGGCTGGTAGATAGCCAGGAAGTTTGTGCAACCTGGTACGCAAGCCGGCAGGCATTCCAAGGGTAGGCCGATATGGTCCTCTGTGTGAGTTCCTCCTGTGGCCAAGATTACTGATTGTGAAGAATGCCATTCAACCCCTGCTGTGATTTGCAGGAACTTGCGTATAGCGCTTCTCTCATGGGCTTTAAAAAGTGATGTTGCACTGTTGACACACAGTGTGGCAATCTGCCAGCTGTTCAGAAGGATATTGCAGAGTGATTGGTTGGTGTGTTGGGGAAATCTTCAGTGTAAAGGAGGTCGGCAAAAACGTATTGGCTGTCCAGGCTGTTGACATCAGGTATCTGATGTGAGCTGGAGGGTTTCCAAGATAAATGGACAATTGATGGACATCATCTTCATGCGTATGCATGTTACCTTGCTGCTGGACTCAATGGCGAAATCATATGACGACGGTCAGGGGGAGGAGAGGTCTGAAACGATGGTGAGGAGAACTGAAAACAACGAAATGACAGTGATAGGGAGAGGCAGGTGTTTGATTGCAGGTATGCTCGTCTTGCAGGAGAAGTCGAGCAGAGCTGTTCGCTGAAACGATGCTTACAGGGTTATCCCTCATAGTTGGAGAGAAAAAGAAAACAAAAACATAGCAGTGATAAGGAGAGGCTAACGGTTGATGTATGACAGCTGTGAGTCTAAATTTCAAAGCTCATTGTGTGGACTGATGGAACCAGCGTTGCTGTTCTTGTGTGGGAGCAGCACCTGCGTGTGTGGTCGGCATTTAGAGAACGTTTTTAGTTTGTGTGCTTGGTTATCTGATAGAGACTGAGGAACTAGTTGTTTGATGATGTATGACAGTTGATTGTGTCAGTTAAATTTTTAAAGCTTATTTTGCGAACTAATGGAAGCAGAGCTTCTGTTCTTGTTTGGAAACAACGTCTGCATGTGTGGTCAGCATTTAGAGAAGATCTGTCTTTAGTTTGTGTGATTGGTTATCTGACGGAGCCTATGCTACTGTGCCACAGGGGAGCTTTCATTGCACCGACCATGATTAGTATTTATCCACCCCCGGACCAGATAACGTTTATCCGATGGAGAAGATTTGGATCCATATCATCGGCAGATTGGCCACAGTTGGGTAGAGATCCTCTGATTTAGAGATTATCTTCATACATGAGACCCCGGTGTCCAATGGTGTTGTTTCAAGTCAGTCGGTAAGAAAAGACGAGCATAGGATACAGAACGGTTTTTGCGGTAATTTAGTATGTAGAGGTTAATCATAACGTTTTCATTACCTGTCCCATGTGCTAACCCTGACGATGGCCGTTTTGGCGAGCCGGCCAAAACACGTGTCGGGTCTTCGCCATTGTCCTTCATGTCCATGGCGCTGTGCACCTAATTTTGACCTGTTGGCTGTTTTTTACTGAATTCTATTTGGTCCGACTCCCGCTCAGGGGTAACTATGTTCTCCCTTTTGTTCTTTTCTCCCACCTCTCTGCTTTTTTATTTCCGGTGTGAGTTTTGTCCCTTGCATGGCTTTAGTCTATCATTCTTTTGAATATACAGTAAGGATGAAACCACATACCTCAGTATCAGTTCCACAGCACCATCTGGTAAGTGAGATGACTGTAAGGGTCTTGTTATCTGGCAGGCACCAACGTAACAAACTTGATTATTATGGCCAAAATCAGCAAACTGGACTGAAGGTAGCTTGTAAGGAATGATAAACTCCCTTTGACTGGTCAACCTTCTTGGTTATTGATACAAATTTGAGGTGATACCTGACGTTTCTTTCTCAACACTCATGCCTGAAGAACATTTCCCCTTCCTTCATCCCTCCCTCCCTTCCTCCCTTACATCCTCCCTCCATCCCTTCCCTAACTCCCCCCCCTTTCTTTCCTCCACTCCTTTTCCCTCTCGCCGCACCTTCCCTTCTCTCCCTTCTCTCCCTTCCTTTCCTTCCTTCTCCTTCTTTCTCCTTCTTCCCTTCCTTGTCTTACCTCCCTTTCCTCCCTCCCCTCCCTTCCCTCCTTTCCCTTCCTTCCCTCCCTTCTGTTACATGCTGAGCCTGCACACGGGGCCCATTTACAGGGCCCGACGGTTGATGAGGGGCCCCCAGGCCGCACGCCATCCAGCGTGCACCCTGGAGGCCCACGGTGGCCTTTCTAGGCCGCAGGTACAGCCTGAGGCAGCATTCATTCATTTATTTATTTATTTATTTATTTATTTATTTATTTATTTATTTATTTGTGCAAGGAACATGAATGTGGACGAAGCACAGAAATCCAAATTGCAAAATCACACTGAAGTCCAAGTAGTCAAAGCAAGAGCAGATAGCACAATGGAACCGATTAACCATCCATTTGAGAACGATACAGAACAATCGTGAGTCAGTGTCCAAGCCCAATCGGGCAACACCAACAGCATAACCCAATGTAGCTCTCTCTCTTGATTGGCGCCAGGCGCCCTATCTACTCCACAGCCTAACACTACAACTACAGCATGGAAGCAACCAGACAACTTGACGACCAGGGAGTGATGACGTCAACACCAATGCCAACCTCCTCTCCACCAGGTACGTCTCTCTCTTCTCCCTCACTCTCCCTTGTTATCCCACACAGCGCCCCTCACTTCCAAAGAACCACCTTCGCCCTTCACCTCCTCTGCGCCCACAGGCAGCCCGACTATGACCGCCAGCGCCCTGCGCCCAGGCTGCGCTCTACCACTTAGCGGTAGCCTGCTTCTCTCAGCCACTGCGCAGCGCAAGTGCTAGCGCTACAATGCAGCAGCGTGCCCGCAATGCCTGCATTGGCCAAGATCCCTCCCCACTCGCCCTCCCTGCCTATATGCCAGTGTTGCGTGTGGGCAGCCTCCCTTGAGCCTGCGCCTGGGCCCCAGTACCTGTACCCAGGCCCAATGCGGTTGGGGCCCAGGGGATGCAGTTGCGCCTCTTTCATCAAGGCCTGCGACCAGATTCAGATAGTGGACCGGTTTGCCATTGGCATTTTCGGACTCTATATCCAGCATGCATTGTCGGCCTCACGTTTATGTGCCCAGGGCCTAACCAATCCTGGGGCCCTGGGATTTCTGCATTTGTAGAGATCCGATACTCGGTGCACTCCAACCAACTGGCGTGCAGCAACTGTATGGACCCCACTTCGTGAAATGTTTGAACAAAGGGCTCTTGTTGATTTGTTGGCCCGCCTTCACTTAGGGCAGGCACGAGGCTTGCTGGGGGCCTTAGCCCAGAACATGTACATCACGGCGAGGCCCATTTGAGGGCTCAATCCTCACATTCCATCCCCCTTAGCTTCGAAAGTCCGCTGAGATGCTTGCTTCACAGGTGCCTTCCCTTTTAACATCCTCTCATATTCTGCCACCACTTGAGGAGCTGTGTCAATCAGTTCCTCTCTGGTGAACCACCGATCTTCTTTTGGATCCGTATGATGTCTGAATCTGACGCGATATTCTCTCTTGGGTTTGGGAGGTCTTCCTCTACCCAGTGGCTTTGGAACAGGCAGGTCTCTGTGATCCACAATGTCGTCGATGTCCACTTGGCCATCAATGGTTGGGGGCAGCATCGATCTCCTTGAAGGGAATTGATCTGTCTCAGCGAAAGGTGCAAGCTTTGAGGCATGAAAGACAGGGTGAGTGTGCAAGTGACCAGGGATGCGGATAACATAGGTAGGACCATCCATCTCATCCCCAACTATGTCCAGGACTTCCCAGGGACCAAAATACTGAGGCATTAGTTTACGAGAGATACCGAATTCTTGTCCTACCTCACTAGCCTTGACCCAGACACGTTCCCCTACGTGAAATGAGGACTATCGACGATGTTTGTTCTCAGAAGCAATCATTGCTTGCTGAGCTTTCCTGATGTGCTCGACAGCTTCTGTAGCAACTTTTCATACTGCACACCATACTCAAGTGTGCCTGGAGTTGCAGAAGGTCGATTTTCAGGTAGGAGGAAGTCCATAGCTGATCTAGGCTTCCATCCCAAGTGTAGCTGATTAGGACTAACGTCGGTACTGCTGTGTACAGCGTTGTTGTACAGGCTGGCGATGAGAGGCAACTTCTCATCCCAGTCATCCAGGATGGGCTTGATGTAATGCCTCAGTAGGTGTTGTACAACTGTGTTCATCTGCTCGGCTTGTTCGTTGGCTTCGGGATGATTCCCTGAAGTCATCTGAAGTTGACTGCCCATCTGCTCAGCAGTCTTCTTCCACAACTCACTTGTGAATCGGACATCTCTGTCACTAACGATTGACTTAGGTAGTCCAAAATCACGCACCCAGTTGTCCATAAACAACTTGATGACGTGTTCAGTCCTTGCGGTCTCTGGCATGGCAATTAGTCTAGCGTACTTGGTGAATCGGTCTATGATGACAAAGATGTGCCTCTTGCCACTCCTACTGGTCACCAGGGTGTCCATGAAGTCCATAGAAACACTCTGTCCCGGACCAGCAGGGATAGGTAAGGGCTTCAGCAACCCAAGCGGTGCTTGAGTTCGCGGCTTATCCCGCTGACAGACCTGACAGGTCTCCACATACTTCTTTGCATCTTCTATCATTCCGGGCCACCAAAATCGTTGTACTAGATTGGCACTCGTCTTTTTGTAGCCAAAGTGTCCGGTTGCGTCATGACATTCTCCTAAGAATAAACTATGCAAACGTTCACTAGATGGGACAACTAACCTTTTAAATTCGGCCTTATCAAGAAAGAGAAGCCCGTCCACCATCACAAACTCATCTTCTGTGGCCTTGTCTTTTGCCTGAAGTTTGCGTATGATATTTATCGTGACAGGGTTTTCCTGATAGGCTCCCACCAACGATTGAGTTAGTTCCTCAGATACACCAAACTCAGAAACTAGCGCCCCTAGGTAGTCTGCTCTACGTGACAGCGCATTTGCAACCTTGTTGTATTCTCCCTTCAGATACTCTAGCTGGAAGTCATACTGATATATGACCTCAATCCAGCGCTTGAGTGCATCAGAAAGAGCCGGTTGAGTCTTGATCCATTTGAGGGTCTGATGGTCAGTTCTCAAGTAGAAAAACCGTCCCAACAGAAAGTGCCTCCAATGGACAAGGGCTTTGTAGAGAGCATAGAGTTCCCTTTCATAGGTGGACTTTGCCAGTTTCTTTGATGGCATCTTTTTGCTCGTATACTCAATCGGTCTCAACTTTTTCCCATCCTGCTGAGCCAGCACTGCGCCAATGCCGTATTGGCTTGCGTCAGTGGTCACTACGAATGGCTTCTAAGGATCGGCACCATGAGAACCTCATGATTCATGAGTGCATGCTTCAATCGTTTGAAAGCAGCCTCGCACTCATCACTCCAGTCCCATGGCGTGCCAAGTCGAGTTAGATCAGTCAAAGGAAAGGCGACTGTGGAATAGTTCTTTACGAAGTTTCTATAGTCGCCGCACATTCCTAAGAAAGATCTGACCTAAGTAACAGTCTGAGGTCGTGGCCAGTCCCTGATACTAGCCACCTTCGCATCTTCCGGCCTAATACCTTTCGCAGATACTTCATGACCCAAGTATAAGATCTTAGTGCGTCCAAACTCACATTTCTTTAGGCCCAATGCGGTTGGGGCCCAGGGGATGCAGTTGCGCCTCTTTCATCAAGGCCTGCGACCAGATTCAGATAGTGGACCGGTTTGCCATTGGCANATGCGGTTGGGGCCCAGGGGATGCAGTTGCGCCTCTTTCATCAAGGCCTGCGACCAGATTCAGATAGTGGACCGGTTTGCCATTGGCATTTTCGGCCTCTATATCCAGCATGCATTGTCGGCCTCACATTTATGTGCCCAGGGCCTAACCAATTCTGGGGCCCTGGGATTTCTGCATTTGCAGAGCTCCGATACTCGGTGCACTCCAACCAACTGGCGTGCGGCAACTGTATGGACCCCACTTCGTGAAATGTTTGAACAAAGGGCTCTTGTTGATTTGCTGGCCCGCCTTCACTTAGGGAGGGCACGAGGCTTGCTGGGGGCCTTAGCCCAGAACATGTACATCACGGCAAGGCCCCTTTGAGGGCTCAATCCTCACATTTCAATATGCTGCCCTACTTTGTCTGTTCAACCCTGGAGGCCCACGGTGGCCTTTATAGGCCGCAGGTACAACCTGAGGCAGCATTCATTCATTCATTCATTCATTTATTTATTTATTTATTTATTTGAATATGCTGGCCTACTTTGTCTGTTCAGATGCCGTTTCGGACTTGCAGTCCCCAAGGCACGACCTTGGGACTGGGTACACCAGAGGCAGGGCCTACAAGAGGCCAGGCGCACTTTGGTGCCTTGCTGCATCAGCAGCACAGACTGGACGCCCGGTAGGGCCCAGACCGGCTGGGGCATTTTAGGCCAGCACCAGGTAGACCCAGCCTCGCCCAGCGCTACATATAGCTGGGCAGCGGCTGGGCACTACACAGTTCGAGTACCTCACTTCTTGGGCGCTACGCTGCTGGACCAGCACCGCACCGATAGTGCTGCGCTGCGTTAGCATTAGCGGAGTAGGCAGGAGATAGGGCGGAGGCCATACCTGCAGCGTCCGAGCACGTACCTGGGCGCCATAGCTGGACTTGGCTTCAGCGACCTGCAACACAGCGTACACCGGCATCGTCAGTACTTGGCAGCAGTTACCTGCAGGTGAGACAGTGAGGAGGGCGATATCATCTTCTTCCTCTTTTGTCCGTTCTTGCCCTCCACCTCTTCTTCTTCTTCTTCTTCTTCTTCTTCTTCTTCTT